TCTGAGTTTGAGCTTGTTTTATGCATTTTTGTTCTTCAGAGTTTTTCTGACACTTTAGCCATCTAGCCACAATTTTCTCTGCTGCTCTGCTGTTCCAGTTAAGACATTTTTCCCCAGTCTGGTTAGCGACACTGACATTGTCCTTTTCATTACTGATTGGCCTTTGTACTGTGTATGGACTTAAAATTTTGTAATTTTGTTTCCACTTGGACCACTCTAGCATTTGTCTCTTCTTTTAGGCATACTTGGAGATTTGCTAAATACTCTGTAACGCTGTGCCTTTAACTGTTTGCAAGTTTTGTAAGTTGCTCTGGATAAGAGTATCTACTAAATGACAAAATTTAAATGTAATACATTTCCCATGAGACTTGGTGGAAAAGGGTCGCAACACAACACAACAGGCAACATAAAACATTTCCATTTCCTTCAACACAGGCATCCTGAAGGAGTGCACTGAGGCTTAGATTTACTAAAGGTTTGCCTGTGTAAAAATACATCCAAACTTGACAACATTCTCACAAAATGTGCAAGCTGATTTACTAACTGGGTCTACAAAGGGTTGCATCACCCACAATGCGATTTATTGCAGCTTGAAAGTCATTTTGCGCACAACTTACTACCAAAGAAGGGCAAGTATTAAATCTGTAGTAGCCCATTTCTGTCATTTAAATACAAAATAATACCACTGTTTTCTTACAGTTTCTTGAAATAGTGTCTGTTTATGTCAAAACAATGAGCACGCTTCTTGAACTTCTGAACTAATAGCCTGTGAAAAGATTTTCTTTACATATACTGTGTTCATGTCTATACTCTTTAAATTCTCATTTAGATAGTTTTGGACACCTCTCACCACTTTTAATCAGTGTTATACCTGACACACTATTATGCCTCTATGTGGCAAGTCTCAGTTTCACTCTTTCAGAAATTCCTTTGAGCTTGCCACAGTGAATTTAAATATTGTTTCATACTCCTACTTTGTAGTATAAAATTACACCACATGCAATCATTAATTTTTTGTAAATCACCTGCAACTTGTCCAGGAAATGCACATGCAATTTATCAGATTGCACATGCAAATGAGTCCTGCTTATTTGGGATCTTAGTAAATCATGGCTTGTGAGGCACATCTGCAGATGAGTGATAACTGAAAGGAAAAACCGGTCACTCTATTATGCCATGGAGGAGTTTTCTACCATGGTTTGGGTCCACATGCCCCCTTAGATGGAAGATTCACAGCAAATCAATTAAGTTATACTGACTGATGACCTTTATGCTATGATGAAACATTTCTAACCTGATGGGAGTGGTTTCTTCCAGGTTGACAATGTCCCCACCCACTAAATGGTTTGATGAGTATAAAATTGATATGACAATACTGTGCAAAAGTCAAAGACCACCCTTATTTTTCACTCAAATGGCCAGTCAGTACTCATTGTTAATTATTTGGTGGCAAACAATAATGATGTGAACAGTATTTTCAGATGTAGTACTTATTTATGCAGGTCAATATTAAAATTCAAAAACAAATAAAACATTTACAGATTTCATACTGCATTGTACTGACTGTTGAAGACCTTTCTGTTAAATACAATTGCCCATCATTAATGTTAAATACTTTAAAATGACTTCAACAGTAAAAACAGTATTAAAACTGTAAATATTTTAATTGTAATATTGACCTTTCATTTTGACCTGCATAGATAACTACTGCATTGCTGTTTGATTGAAACCCAACACTTGTTTTTTTTCCCCTTAATTTGTCATCTGTCTGTATGACTGTATGCATAAATCAGCCCTGCTGAATAATGTGACTCCACCATACAATTATTGTGCCTTTCCATTTTGGCTACAAAAAAAGCCTCATGTTTAAGGCAGGGTAGGAAACACAAATCAATATCCAACAGAGCAGGTGGCAAAAAACCCACTTAAGAGTTTAAAAAAAAAGCTCATTTAGTGTCAGTCAGATGCTATGGCAAAAACTATGACAACCAAATCAACCACAGTAATGCATAAAATATGGTTCAGTGCAACATCAGTACAAGATTATTCAATATTACTTTTAGGATCAGAGAAATGCCAAATAGGTGAGAATGAGATGCTAATAGCAAGCAACATGGCAGTAATCACCTTCAGTCTGGTCAAATCTCAAGGCGTTTCTTTGCATTACATTCTTTATAAATTTAAAATTTATATCCTGATTTTATTTATTTCTGTAAAGCTGCTTTGTGACAATGTCCATTGTTAAAAGCGCTATACAAATAAAATTGAATTGAATCGCATTAGCATCACTAGTGAAGACTGGATGAGACATTACTGTAGATAACACTGCATGTAGATCTTTCTATTCTTTCTCTCCAAATGAGTTAAGGTGATGATGTAACCAACTCGTTTTGCTTCAAAAGCTGTCAGTAATGAGAAAGGAGTGTTTCTCATTAAATCCATCTGAAATTGGGTGCAAAGGGTCAAGACCAAGGTGGAAAGTAATTTCAAGTTAAAAAGACAGACATTTGATATTTGCAGTTTATTTTCCCTGCTCTACATGGTCTCCTCCTCACAACACTCATCAAGCCAAGCCAGGCTAGGTTTTGTGTGTGTGTGTGTGTACTTAGCTGAGCATTGGAGAGTCCTTGGCCTGCCTGCTCTTTGCTTTTCTTCATCAAATATTTCTTATTAACTTTTTTCTTAGTTCACCATATTTCATATGGCACTATCACTGCCTGGATAGTTTATCAGGGATGGAATAAGCAGAACAATAGATACACCGTTCTATTGTGTGTAATTAAATTTTGGCTAGAGTTCACAGTCTAAACAATTACCATACATTTTATTTCTGTCAAATGAAATCCAGGAAGGGTTCTTTCAATTTGATACAGTGCTTTCATTCATGAGGATGTTTTATTTTAATAAATGTTACACCCTAGCTGATTGGGTCTGAATTCCAAAAGAGAAAATATGGCTAACGTGTGCAATATCAGTAGACAGATTTGTCTTATTACTGAAATATGATGCAACAGAATGACACTGAGGATTACTCAGCCTAAGAAATTCCATGAGGATAATGTAAAAGCCTCAGAGGGAGTCTCAAACAACAGATTTCTGTGTATTGTATCTACTGAGTGTTTCAGAATTTAGTTTAGTGATTCATTGCAGTGTTATTGACCACCATTATACTATCAAAAAGAACAAAAATCTGTCATTTTAATTGTTTTTCTAAAAACACAGGTTTGAAATAATGGCATTAGTAAGCCTAATTACAATTTCCTTTTACACTGAGATCCTACAGATGAAGATTGAGAAGAGTATGCATGATCAAAACAGTCTCAAGTGAACAGAATTAAGTACTACTTATAGCCTTACAAACTACTGACAGCTTAATAAAACATTAATTACACATCAAGAACACTACATAGAAAATAGCTGTGATTTCTCATCACATTCATAATAAGAGTGAACTAACAGCACATATATCTGTCCAGATATCCATTTGAAAGCTTCTGTTGCATTGGCTGTCTATCCACCTTTTATATTTCAATAAAGTTTAGACCCTAATTAAAGAAATGCTCTTCAGAAAGGCTAAATAGATCTAGTGCACATCACATCTGAATATTTATAGATTCACAAAGACTACTTTTTGGTGGCTGAAAATACACAACTTCTTTCTTTTATCTGAAACTCAAGACTCAAATGTTTGCAGTAAATAAATTAAAATGCAGTGATGTGCTTGGAAAGCATGGTGAGATTTAGATCCAGCAAGCCTCTCAAGATATTGTGTAACAATGAATAAATCTGTTTCATAATCTTCCCCATAGTGTTCCCCAACTGAAACATCTTGCACAAAATGGGGGGGAAAGTACAAGGAAGGCTTGATCATCAGAAATCTGTCTGATTACGTAACTCCATTCCATACCCAGATTTTTTTAAAGGTTTGTGCTCAGACAGCTGAACCACTGATGTTAAATAATGCAGAAAACACTGTTTAAAATTCAGTCTCAATCTCTCTCATCCTGTCTCTTTAACTGGAGGGTGTTGTGAAGCCTGAGGAATTTCAGTGGTAGTCCAGGCCTCCTCTTCCTCCTCCTCCTCCTCCTCCTCCATCTCCTCCAACTCCTTATCATCCTACTTTTCATTCTGGCAACAAAGGGGCAGATGACATTGGCCCATTTGCAAGTGTGAAAATTATATTAGCTGAGGCTGCGAGTAATAAATGGCACGTCAACTGTAGGAAAAATTGCTTTTTAAGCAAAGCAATGATGGGATGCTTATCACACACCCATCAATAAACAGGCCAATAAGAAATCTGCTCTGGCTGGATAGGGAGGCAGAAAACCTTCCCTGTGCAAAACAGCTGCCATATCCACAATCTTTTAAAACAGCAACAACAAATCAAACTATATGTTTTAGGCTGCCATCTCATGCAAAAAAGGCACATCACTATTAAGGAACTCAACTAGAACATTCTTTATATTTTTATTATCAGTTATATTATTTATTTATTATATTAATAATTTCCACTCTTTATTTAGTAAAAAACCAACCAACCGAAAGATTACATCCGAAGATTACAACTGAGAGTAATCATGCTATATGTTTCTCTGCAATATAAAAACTTTACTGTAGATTTTACAGGAATTTGCTGGCAGCCTGGGTTGCCAATAAAGTGCTGTAAAATTTACAGTAAACAACTGTAAAATATTTATAGTAAAGTACTGTAATATCGTACATAGTCTAAAATAACACATAACTCAGTACATTTGCTCTTCTGATCAATGCAGGATACAAGTGAGCTGAAGGGTCTTGCTCAAGGACCCAATCAAGGCAGTTTGGTAGTGCTGGGATTTGAATAGATGACCTTCTTACCTGTGACTTGAAACCTTAACCACTACGCCACCACAACATGCTAAACTACATTGCATTGATTCAATCCAATCTTTTAATGGAGTTAACTCAGTTTTAGAGGTAGTTGAATCAGTGTAAGCTAGTTGTGGTGTTGTTGTGGTGTAGTTGTGGTGGCTCAGTGGTTAAGGCTTTGATTCATACATCAGAAGTTTGTGTGTTCAAATCCCAGCACCGTCAAACTGTTGTGGATGGGTAAGAACCTTAACCTTCAGCTCAGTTTTATTCAGCAGCAAATGCACTGGGTTATGTGTTATTTTATACGATATTAAGATATTACAGTACTTTACCGCAAATATGTTTTACAGTTGTTTACTGTACATTTTAGTGTACTTTACTGGCAACCCAGGTTGCCAGTAAATTACTGTAAAATTTACAGAAATTTGGATTGTATGTAGACGGAAGCAGAAGCAGAGTAAGTTTTTAGTCCTAGTTTGCATGTTGTATTATTGTATGTCTGCTAACATTCTCTTACTCTATCCAAATAAAACAAACAAACAAAAAAATCTTAGTTCTTGGATCTAAAACTATAATAGATAATGTACCTGAGCATAGACTTGTTCTAAAAGGATTCAGGACTGTATCATGCACTATGACTAAGGATCTTGATGTCATGATTGAGTAGCTTAACATTTAAAACCCATTTTAGTAATGTTCCCTCTATCTCCAGAATACAGCCAAGATACAGAACAAGTAGTGCATATATAATGCAGAAAACTTGCATTCATGTATTTATAACCTCTAGAATAGAGTGCACATCTAGCTGGACACCCTGCCATATACATCAACAAGGTCTACTGATCCAAATTACTGCCAGAATGATGACGCCAGAACTTGTGTTATACAATGCAACATTTTGTTTCCTTGTTAGGTCTTAAAAAATCTTAGTTTTGGTACGACACATGATTTCTAAACAGCACTATAAGCAGCTTAGTCAGTATCTGTGTAATCTCCTGACATTTTTATAATCTGGTGCACCGTCTATGACCCCTAAATGTAGGCCTCTTATCAAAACCAAGGATAACAAAATAGCACAGTAGTTCCTTTTGATTCCTATCCTTGCGAAGGGCTCAGAAATGAAAAAAAAAAAAAAAATCACTCAAAAGAGAACCAATATTTTTATCCACAGGTATGGAATTTGACCATTGGTTGGCATTTTCCAGTGAATTCCAAATACAATGTTGCTTATTGTCAGTGGAGTTAACAAATTCTCTGTTCAAAAATGTGACATGCTAGCTGGCTAAATCTCCGTCCTAGTCTATCAGTTAATCTATAGACCCCTTTGGTGTTTATAAACAAAAAAGAGATGCAAAAAGACCCCAGTAGCCTAGCAACCTGATGCTACTTGGTTATAATCTGACTGAAAAATCTATCAAGAATTTTATTTAGGAATCAGATTGACATTAGCTAACTAAATCCCCTTATTATATAGATTAGCACTAAAAGACATGGAGTGCTACTTGGCTAAACTTCGTAACTGTAAACACTTTTACAATTAAGACATTGAGGACATGGTGGCACTGAAAGCAGTGACAGCTGAGTTTTCAACTCCTCAATAAGAACGTGACTTGGCTATCCAGCATTAACTAAGCCTGTTAAATTCTTAGTTAGCATTCCAACTTCATTGATATTATAGTTAGTTACTCAGCTGAAATGGGCACTGTGAAGATGGAGCTCCTCGTACCAATACCCTCTTAACTGTCTGTTACCATCTTCTGTTGGTTTGGAAAGGTGTCAGATTCGATAGTATGCAGTAAACATGAAGGTGTTTATGAACACTTTTCCAATTCTGACACCCAGCCACACAACACGACATTTTAGAAAACAAAGTCTTGCTTGCTCTTAAAAATCTCTATAGTCTCCTGCTATGTTTCTGCAACCAGGAGGTGCGGCTGACTGTCTCACTCAGGGGTCTATATCTAAGCTGTTTTTCCCTCATTCTCACAAGCGCAGTGCAACAACAAACAGGTCGGTTATTTTTTCTGATGCATACTTTAACATAATAACATTTTATGTGTTGTAGTAAATTTAATTTACCTTATTTCTTCCTCTAACTGAAGCCATGTAACATTACAACCTGTGCTGCACAGCACGTGTAAAATGATGCATTGAATGAAATCATGTGAGACAAGATAATGATCTAAAAAGATTTGTTAGGAGTTAGGTGGCAGGACATAATAAGCTAGTGGGCTACACTAATGTAAAATAATTTTATTAACTGGTAACACAGATTTCAGAGTAATGCTTCTGTCCTGGAAAGAGTTAAGGATGATTAAGTTTTTGGTTATGCTGTTCCTAGTGAAATATAGTATATTTCTAGTTTGAATTCCTTGAACTGGTTCAGAGCCCTGATGGAAAGTGCTGGTGAATAGAGATAGCTATCTCCACTCTGTTTATATCCATTCTTGGAGTTTTTGACAATAGACTATAGTTGCTGCATCCCACTGGTCACTAGTTGGAGTGTTAATTATATGTTAATTAACATGAGACAGGCAAAAGGTCAGGTGATTGGCAAACAGCTATAAACTAGACAGTGATAAAGATGTGAATGTGAAGCAGGCTATGCAAAACACTAATCAATAGAGGCAGATGAAATCTTGGAATCATCACAGAAACAATGCTGGAGCGAGACTTCACAAAGTAACAATGATGATCCGTTTAAATTAAACACAGTAGTGTGATTCCAGAGAGTAGGTGCTTGAACTTCAGGAGTTGCAGATACAGTCATGCCAGTTAAACTCCGATCATATAAAATAAGTTATTCATATGTCCCACTACTATACAAAGCAGTTTTTCTCTCTTTTTCCCTCAGCCCTTGCTAAACTATCCTGCGGTTTACAAGCTCCTATTGCTGTCATCATATTGCTGTATTCCTTAGAGTCTAAAGCCCCTTTGACCCATCCAGATCGTATTCCTGACAACCTAAGATCTACAAGCCCCTGCTCCTGAGGTACCCATGATCCTGCAGCTATCCAGCTACTATGTCTGCTATTCAAAATCGCCTTTTCCTGTGCACATCCACTCGTGTCATCCTCAGTCCTACATGTCCTGCTCCATCATCCTTGACTCACTGCTAGCTATCACCAAGCTTTCTCCTTTACCATATTCCAGTGATAACTAGTACATCCTTATGACACTAACATTACAATCTGTTTCATGAAAACAAAATATAATTATATTCCGTATCCTATTTTATGGAAACACAAGCATGTACTTATTCAGTCAGTACCATACATTACTGAGCCACATGATTACAAAGCATTAATACTTACAACCTAATAACTATCTAGAAAAGCAAACCCAAACAAAAACACACATAAACACACACACACACACACACACACACCAACATAATCTTTTCTCATAGCACAGTGCCTCACCATGGAGCCTGCTGCCTGACCTACTTAGAGTGGTGACGTTTACTGCCGTTACAGAGATCTGGCAACCATGCAGCACAGCCCTCCTTTTTTTCCTCACTCCTTCTTTTCCTCTTTCATTCGCTCCTTCTTTCTCATTCTCCCTCTCCTAGTCTTTATCTCTCTCTCCCTCTCAGTATGTACTGCTACCAAAGCTGCCCACCAGACACTACATCTTCAATGCTCCAGTCATGCTCTATCATCTACAGCTCATTCAGGCATTAATATTCGACTCATACTCTATATTGAAAGAGTTCCCCCTCTCTTCTGTACTTAGAACACACACACACGTGCATATACATACACTTTAACACACTGCTGATCAGATGGATATACAGACCCAGACAGAACAGACAGACCAAGCTGTCTCTAAGTTGTCATAAGCTTCTCTCAGGGGAAGAGAGGGACTTGCTAAGCTGCCATATTATCAAGTGTTTCTGAGCATGTCAGAGCATGTTACTGTCAGTTCACGGAATCAAAATAGTCCGAATATCCTGACCTCAATGAATAACATACAGTATATTGCATATAGAGCACAACAAGAATGATGAAATACTGTGAGAACACAGTGTGAAGTGAAAGTGTGTTCGGAATGGTAAATGTTCGATTCAATTTATAACGTAAATAAATCTGGGTAATTGTAGTTACATGCACCACATAAAGCAAATGCTTCAGAGGGCCCTTTTGTAGTTAACAGAAAGCAAGGTAATGCTCAAGAAATTAAGTCAGTGGAAGTTGATATAAGGAATCATGTAGTGTTGGGCTTTTCATCCATGGTTTCTGGCTACAATAACTCTGCTTTGTACTCAAGATCTAGAAAACAAAGCTAGAGAAAGGCTGAGTGCTGAAATAAAGCTTTACTCACAATCCCAGTGATCACAATGGGATCTTCGCCCCAGGCCAAGTCTCTGTGTTTCTGTCTGTTTGAGATATCCTAGCTACAACTACATATACCATGGGTGGACCTCATTACACACACACACACACACACACACAGAATAAATATGGCTGTAGATGCTGCAGATCATAAAAATGTATGTGCATATTCCTGTCAGGTAGAACCATTATGGCCATTCTCCTTTAACCTCTCTCATCAATAAGTCATTTCCACCTGCAGAACTGCTGCTCACGGGATGTTTTTTGCTTTTTTTGCCTTTTGTGTAAATTCCAGAAACTGTTGCGTGTGAAAATCTCAGGAGATCAGCAGTTTCTGAAATGCTAAAAAAAAAAAAAAAAAAAAAAAAAAGCCTGTCTGGCACCAACAACCATGCCATGGTTCTCTTGATCTATATCTGCATGATTATGTGCTTTCCGCTGGTGCCACAGGATTGGCTGATTAGATAATTGCATTAATGACCAGGTGTACAGGTGTACCTAATAAAGTGGCTGGTATATGTATATAAATTCCATTAATTTTCATTCCATATATACACAGTATATCATTGCTCTTTGCATATATATCAATAATTGGAGGGTACTGGGTCTGGTGTGAGCTTTATATTTTTAAATACTGGTAAACATCAAAATTACAGTAGATACAAATAAAGTAAAAAATGCTGGCAGTTAGGAATATTTAAAGATTTAAGACAATGTACATTTTTAGACAACTTTGGATTTTTTAAGGACTTGTGGACACCCTGTATTAAAGGATGTACATTGTACACTGTCATATTTAAAAAAGCAGTCAGAGCAGTGTTTGGAGCAGTCACCACTGTAGTGTGAAATCTATTGTGCATGTCTTGCATCTTTACTGTTGGGATT